TACAGTTTGGCGAATATGTGTTAAAATGCGAGGTGTACCGCATCGTATTATATCTCCCCTTATATTTTTTATATTATTTCCCTCGATTGCAAATTGCTTTAAATTGGGCAATATGCCGATGCAATAAGGTATTCTGTAAAAAAGATTCATTTTAATGAATACTCTAAATATATAAAACCATAGTAGAAAAGTTTTGTGACATACAAAGATATATTATTATGCGACAAGTCAAAAACTTCTAAATTTATTAATTTGATTATTTCTTCAGGTATTATTTCAATTATATTATTTTGCATTGTGAGCTGTTTTAGATGCCCTACCACTTCTAAGCGTTGCGGATCAATTTCCTACAAGAGAGAATATTATTGTTTTAGTAATACTGCGTTTATAATAACAAGCTGAAGTCTTGATTGGCTCAAGCATAAATATATACATTAACACATACAGAAATGTTATTGTTATCCAAATGCAATACTGTTAAAGCTGAACAACCTGATATGTCTGGAAATTCCTGCAAATTATTCGACTGGAACATAATTCTTTCTACTTTCCGTAATTCACCTAATGGTGGTATTATCTCCAATTGATTAAAGCTGATATCTAACGTTTTTAATGCTACCAGAAAAATACAATAATCATTTTATCGAATAATATCGCAAAATATAGATCACTTTTTTGTGGTCAATTATTAATGCATTTGTGCATGAAAGAAACTCACATCGCATATTTGTTACATCAGGTGGTAACTCTTTTATCATATTCTGACATAAATTCAATGTCTTTAGTCGCACCAAATATCCCATTCCGATCGGTAATTCTCTTAAATTATTATACGATAAATCCTAAAAAGATATACAATTATTTCATTTAAATAATTGACTTTACATAATCACGTATAATGATGTGTATTTTTTACCATATAAGTTAACATGATTAAATCTCCAATCTCAGCTTCGAGTATACTTATTTGATTACTTCTTAGATATAACTCGCATAGTTCCTCCAACATATAAAATTCATGAGGTAAATTTTTTAGTCTATTGTCTGATAGATTTAGTACTTTTAATTTGCGCAGAGAACCGATTTCAGGTGGGAGTTCTTCCAACAAATTGCTATGTAACTAGAAACAGTATTAAAATATTTAAGATCATACATATAGAAATATTGAAAACATACACTTTTATGATTGAAACAAGGAATAATTTATACATATGTTTAAAGTATTCAGTTCTGTTAGAAGTTCTATTTTATTATCGATTACGGTTAAACTATTGCAGCTCATATCTAACATCTTCAGTGGCTCTTGTTCCCACCATCGCTCCTCTAAAGGTTCATAATCAAGTTCGAAATGTAAATCACGTAATTCCTCTTCCGTTAATTCGTTTATATTCCATATTTTGTCAGGTACTGTAACGCGTATTAATTCCTATGTTCAAGATTCTACCCTTTCTGCACTATGGACAGCTACTATGCCATTAAATTCAATGAAGGCGTTATTATATAAAATTTACTTACCTGATATGGCGAATAAACTAACAATAAGTTACGTCGGATACACCTAGGATCACTTCTAATATTACACGTTTTTTTTAGCAAAGCATGCAAAGCAATTTAAAATAATGATAATGAATAATATTTATACGACACCAAGCATGTTTTATTTATAATTATAAGCATAAATTGTTTTCAAATGTATCTTGAAGCAACATTAGTGACACGATATTAAATGAAATAAATATTAAACTTAAACTTAAATAAAAAATAAATATTAAACGTAATATTTTGCGAAATTTAGAATTTTGCCATTTATGACTTGTATTTATATATAATATATATGTACATATAAATTAAAAATACACATACATAAAAAAAGAAACACAATTGTGCAAAACTAGATTTATTTGACTTTCACACTGCTGGACTTACAGCTGCATTATCTATATAGAATATAAATTTAAAAATGCCAATTTATTACACCAATTTTGTGTCTTATTTAAACTAGTAATGATATATTAAAATATGAGTTTTGATCTTTCATACATTCCAAAAAAAACTTGATATGATGGATAACATTGTTCATATCTTTCTTTGCATTCTCATTCACAATGCTTACATATATCTATGTAAAGGGTGTCAAAGAAATTTTAATCAGAAAGGAGGTGATTCTTCAAAAATAAAAAAAAAAAATTTTTTTTCTCTAAACATTTTCAACAATATTTCAATTAATAAAATAAATACATTATTGAAACTTATTGAATTATAGTGTAGTGTATACAATAATTCAATAAGTTTATATTATAAGTCTATATTATAGAAACAGATAGTAGTAAACAATCAGATAAACTAAACAGATTAGCCACTTGATAATGACTAATTAAGTGTATCTGTACTTAATGAATATTCAAATTCGATTTTCTTAAAAACAGAAGTATAAAAAATGTTATTCTATATTTTTTACTTATTTTAACAAGAGAAATCACATCTTTCCCAGTTATAAGATTTCCAAAACACTTGTATATATGAGACTGTCTATTTGTTGTACATATATGATAAGATTCCATTAGTTGTGTCATGTAAGTCTCTGGAATCATCAATTTTTTGGAAAACTTTAAAAACGTATTCTCTGATATTTTGTATATTACAAAGAGCTTTTACATGACACAATAATGTCATCTAAAATGAATAAGGAAACATTATGCACATTTCACTTTCATTGCGCTCTCATTCACAATGCACATGTGCATCATATCGAATATAAATAAATCTAATAATAAAAACTTATTGAATACTTATTGCAACATATAAGTGATAATTGACAGGCAACAAAGGTATAAAAAGATCTGTGTATTGTATTTGAGACTTGTGTGTATTGATGAACTAAAGTACTTTTCAATAAGAAATGCAGATGATATTTTATCTTTGCTTATTATTGATAAATGCGATTGTACTCACAGAACACAAACAGTGACATCAATTTATGATTTCTTACTCAATAACTCAATAATGTAACTCTTATGTGAACATCTGTTATATTACATTTATATTATTGCAAAATTATAAAATTGATGTAATATTACTATTAGTTTATATTTTGTAAGCAATCCTAATTGGCATCAAACATTGGTCAATATATCTCCAAATTCAACCCAGAAAAACCTTTCTTTTTTCTCCAATGTGGAGAAAAATGAAAGAAAGATGAGTCAAACAAGAAATTTAGCTAAAAAAAACAGGCCTAACATGTTGCCAATAATTTATTATTACTGATTCACTGTGTTGTATGATCTGCATCTTGCTGAAAAGTACCTATCATAAACATATACATTTTAACATGACTGTACTTGAATATATACTATCATCGCAATCATGCATGTCCGTCCAATTATGAATATAAACTTTCGTATGATCTAAACGAAAACTGGAGCATGCTCGAAATAATTGTGCGACGTAATATGAACGTAAACGTAGAGCGATTTCGATAGTATCGTCGATCGTTCCATCGTCCAGTTTACAATTTTAGTATGCACAGGCGGTGCTTGTAAATATAATATACCCGTGGACAGTCCCTTCGACGAGAGATTTAACTGGCCCGTCTTTCTCGCTCCTATAATGATGCTTCTCGATAATTCATTGTTGTCTTCGTTCTTGGTCCGTCGCTTAAATACCGCCAAGTGATTGGCTTTTTTTCGAATGTCGCTCATCGTGGAATGAAAGACTCATCGATGCGTATCCTCACTTCGGATACGATTTCCTTTTTACGCAAAAAAAAACCAAAAAGAACGCAGAAAAATGATCACTGTGTGTGTGACTACTTACATAAACACAGGTGGGAGACAAGCCGCTTTGTGTAACTGTACTGTGATGCATTAGTGCTGTACTTCCTGCACTTGAAATGAAACAGAAATATAATTAGACGTTGGAGAGAAAGAAAGAAATATAGACCGTTTTCCATTCGGTGACACAAATTGACACAAATCTCATTTTATCTTTCTTGACATTCAATGAATAACAAAGACAGAATGACACTTGTGTCATCAAATGGAAAACACTCAAAAGTTAGATATAAATTAAATATTATTAAATATAAGGCAAAAAAATATGAAAAATTCAGTCTAAAGAACGAACTAGACGTTGAAAAAAAGAAAAATAAATGAAAAAGAAATAGATTTGCTTCACGCAAGATTATCGATCGAGCGCGATATTACCGACCGAGCGATAACTAAGCACGTAGTTCCGCGGCGGTGCTGCTGAACGTAGATGGCGCATTCGCGGTGAAAACAGTTTCTACACGCTTCTTGCACTGGAGCGGCCCCATGCGTAGCGACCTTTCACGCTTGCTGGACACGGACTGCCAAAGTACCAACTAGAGTCGGTGTCGCTTTCCTGCCGAATTCACCGCTACCGATTGGGGACACAGAGAGCGAGGAATACGCTCGCGAGTCCCAGGTACAGTACACTCGCAGGAAACGACAAATTTTCCCGGCCGATCGGTTGGCAAGATTTGTACGCGTACATACGTGCAGTGCTTTGGTATTACGATCGGCGGTCCCGCTGACGGCGTCCGTTTCACGGAAAGAAGGAAAGCCACGTCGGCGAAGAGGTATCGCGGGAATCCACGGTGGTGAATGATTGCGAGAGAGTGTTGAGAGATCTACGACGATAAGGACGGCGCGCGGGGATTCCTCGCCCGCGTCCCGGTGGACAGCCCGCCTCCTTCCCTCCTTCCCTCCCCTTCTCCTGTCCCGACTCTCTCTGTCTGGACTGTATTCGCGGCCACCTCAATCTCTCTCTCAGCGATCTCCGCGGTGACACGCGAGCCTCTGCTTTCCCTCCTCCCTCGCGAGGAGGCAACTTGGCGGCCGCGTCCGCGTCCGCGTCCGCATCCGCGACTCACGCCCGGCCCCCGCGCCCGGCAGTCTTCACACCCGGTCACAGCACAAACACAGAGATTGTGGAGTCCAGGAAGTTAAGGGGACGGCACGAGAGGGAGGACGCGCCGTCCATCACCATGAAGCTCGTCGACCACGTGGTGAGGAGCTTCAAGGTGGCCAAGGTATTCCGCGAGAACACAGATCGGATAAACAGTATCGATTTCTCGCCGAATGGCGACACCCTGATCTCCTGCTCGGAGGATGATCAGATTGTCATATATGACTGCGAGAAGGGTACTCAGGTACGGACGGTCAATTCCAAGAAGTACGGCGTCGACTTGATACACTTCACCCATGCGAAGAATACCGCGATACATAGCAGCACCAAGGTCGACGACACGATCCGTTATCTCAGTTTACATGATAACAAGTATATACGTTACTTTCCTGGTCACTCAAAAAAGGTAGTATCACTATGTATCAGTCCTATCGAGGATACTTTCCTCTCTGGTTCTTTAGACAAATCCCTGAGACTGTGGGACCTGCGCTCGCCAAATTGTCACGGGGTGATGAATGTCTCAGGACGACCAGTAGCAGCATATGATCCCGAAGGTCTTATCTTTGCAGCTGGAGTCAATTCAGAAAGTATCAAGCTATATGATCTGCGTAGCTTTGATAAGGGTCCATTTGTTACCTTCAAACTGTCGCAGGAAAAAGAGTGTGATTGGACTGGATTGAAGTTCAGTAGAGACGGCAAGACCATCTTGATCTCTACTAACGGTAGTACGATTCGTTTAATTGACGCTTTTCATGGTACACCCTTACAGACTTTTGCTGGACATCTCAACAACAAGGGAATTGCCATAGAGGCCAGTTTTAGTCCGGATTCCCAATTTGTGTTCAGTGGCTCCACAGATGGTAGGGTGCATGTGTGGAACGCGGAGACCGGTTATAAAGTTTGCGTGTTGAATGGTGATCATCCGGCACCAGTGCAGTGTATCCAGTTCAATCCCAAGTACATGATGTTAGCGTCTGCATGCACCAACATGGCTTTCTGGCTACCCACCATCGATGAAAATGCATAAGACTAATTTACAAGAAATGTAGAGCGAGATGCCAGAATCTGTACTTCGTGAAAGAGAGAACAGAAGAGTGCGGGAAGAGAGGCAGTCAGTTGAGAATAACAACCAGAGGATGTTTATAACTTGTTTGAGCGAATTCATTTACAACAAAACACATTGCATTTACATTATGCGTGCAAAACTGGAATAGCTGTTGTATGGCGTTCTGAAACCAGTTCTGAAACGTATTCGAGGGAGCAAACAAGACGTCACGAGAGAAATCGAACAGCTGGACCATCGCTTGTACGTTCGTGTTTCGAAAAGGTCCACATGGAATACAACTTTCCATCATCGTCGTTATCGACGTTATTGTCTTCATTATATCAATATATGAAGATCCATGTTTTGTAGACGTTTCGAATGTGTCTTGTATAAGTAGTCTCTTCCTACGTATCTGTGTGTCATCAATTAATGATATGTGGAACGAATGTTACATACCGGAAGAGGTCATCTTTGGATTTCGTCCGTTACCGGGCAGTCGATCGTTTGCCCGATTGTGTTCGAGAAAATTACTGTAGAATTTCGTCGCGCTAGTTGCGAAAATACACCTGCAATGTAGAATGATGTACTATCTAGAAGCAATTACCGTCTACGAGAATTTTGTACTGTTACTTCGGTGAAGCTAAGCGTAGAAAACTGCGAACAGCTAGAGAGACAAGATTCGCGTATTCGAGTATAAGGCGTCCTTGAATACAACCTTGTTTGATTGAATGCACCGTGAGAAAACATTGTACCGACCAAATCGGCCGAAATCGAATCGGTATCATCGGCGATTCGTTTTCGATCCATCGTAAGACGGTGCATGTTTTATTATTTACACGTCTAACGCTTTACATTTTTGATAACAGGTCACGCGCGCGTTGCCTCAAACATGGCATTAGGATGTTAATTTAATTTTATTGAACGCGCAAAGCCGCGTACGAGAGATCTCCGAATAGTCATTCAGATCCCATCGATGTTTCAGCAGGCAGCCCGTTAAGCAAATCGTAAGATTATAATACATCATGGTCTGATCCGCATGGTCGCATACAGGATAAAGTTCTTAGGCTGATTAAAAATGCAAGGAAATCATTGCGCAAAATGAGGAATTTGTAGTTTCCTTTGTGATATTAATTTTACCTTTGACATTGGTAATGTTGTGTATTTTACAACGTAAGTAATCGGTCTGTAATCTTAAGTTTGTTAATTATTAGCCTTCAATTCTTATCTCGTCCATTTCGCTTTCAACGTACATAGCTCTGGATAATACGTGAGATAACGTGCATTATCTCATGGTTTACGAATGAAAACTTAAGACCATCCAGCGTAACTAGGCATTAGATGCATGATGCATAGAAAATATCTTTCGAAGCTCATATAAACGCAAAAGATCGTAAAAGGAGACTTTAAATACCGATCACTTTTGTTCCTGCATACGGCCATGCTCTGTATACGGTTCTCATATGTATTACGTAGATCATCGGAAACACCTAATTGCGCTTTGTATACACGCGTATGCATACATCGCGAAGGCGAATTAAAAGTGAATTAAAAACGCCTGATGGATTCCCGATAATCAAAGACAGTGAGACGCAGAAGACCGACGATATCGCGCGTGAAAAGGCCCCATCATCGTCGTCGCTTTCGTAGCAAATCACAAAGAAAAGTCCCAGAGACCTCGAAATATATCCTATTTTTTTCAACTGAATTTTTTGCATAATTCATTTTTCTTTTTTTCTTTCCATATTAGAAAAAAAAGATGAACAATGCACAAGTTAGCTAAAAAAAAAAGAGATTTCTTTTTTGTGTGTTTTAATAAGTTTGTTCGCGTTGCTTGAAATTTTCAAAAATTTTTTAATTCAAAATGATATATATATATATATATATATATATTGCCTGATTTATGCTTCGGTCTTAATTTTAATCTAACTAAAGTCATATATTTGGGCATTGAAAAAAGAGAAAGCGAAGATGTTGAATGCAAAAAATGCAAGCAACGCGAACAAACCTTGTCCGTGGAAGGCGTCGATGATGATGGCAACGGTGATCTGTGATGACCTTCGCCGTCAAAGGCGAGAATGTAACAGACCAGAAGATGCACTAGATATCGGCGCGAAAATAACAGAGCGACCGAATATTTGTTATACACGACAAGAAGTCAGTTTGGTGATAAAGAGATAAGTGAAGGAAAAAGGGAGAAAAAAGAGAAGAAAAGAAAACGCGAGCCCTCACGAATAGATAAAGTCCTCCGCGCGATAAGGTGTTGCGTTACATGTAGTGAAGTAGTATTCATTATGCGTACGTAATTGTAGGCAATAAATCGCGATTTACCGTATTACGATACAATAAGTGATACGATACAATAATCTACACGCGTGGAACCGGCGGGCCGGGTAAAAAATACGTTCGACATTCGTAGAAGGCGCACTTCTTTTCTTTCTCTTTTCTTTTAGGTGTAATCGTATCTCATGAACTCTTCTAATTCGATAATACTTGGTGTTTATGCGCGACACAAGACGGTAGCTCATCTTGTTTCTTAATGAGCAAGACTTATGAAAATATGCATAAACATTTTTTGCTCGCCAAGAAATGATTATGAGAAACTACGTTCGCGGCATATTCCGCCTCTGCGAAGCGAATAACACGGCGCGGACGAATAGGTGAGCATCGCAGATTTCTTTGCTTTAAAAAAAAAAAAGATGGAAACAGTAAAACCATCCTTAAGATCCATTTTCTGTGGTTAAACTTATACATTTTTGAAACTTCAAGTGAGATAGGTATACGTTTGATATTTGGCGAAAGCGAGAAAGAGAATTCTAGTACAATCTAGTGCAGAAGAATAGAAAGCAGACCTTTAGCTATACTTCGTCGCTAATAAGACGTACGGATGCTACGATCGCACGGAGCCGCGTGATGAATCTTGCAACTGTAATCCTATTCTTCCGTTCTCTCGCATTTTTTCTCCTTTTTTTTTATCTCTCCTGCAAATCTCAATCTCGCTTTTTGCGTTTCTGCGAAAACATTATAGTGATCCGAACTCGGCCGTTGCTGAATCTATTCGATCGTCTGCCGTTCCTATCTCCATCCGTTTCGTATGTATATACAGTAGTATCCATTATTTCCTGTAGAATTTTCTAGACGTCTCCGTTTAACATATATTTCGTGCAAGAACGTGTGGTCAATGATATTTTATTCGATAGCGGGTGTGTGCGTGCTTGCGTGTATGTATGTACGAGAGATTGCTGGTGCGAGTGATTATTACACGTTTGCATCCAATGCGAGTCCGTCTATGTGAGCATGTGCTTTGCATGGACGAGAGCTTGCCTCCTGCGCTGTAAAATAGTATTTTTTATAACGGCGACGCGGTGTGCGCGAAAGAATCGTATTGATAGGACGTCTTACCTGCGAACTCACGCGGGACGAATCTCGCGTGCGCTTCCGCGAGGGGGGGAAAAAAAACATTAATTGCAGAGAGGAGTACAAAGACCTCGACCCTTCAGCTGCACAGTTTCAACCGACGTGTTCAAACCTTCCCCCTCCCCCTCCCCCCGCCCGAGATCGGTCACGCTGGCGAGAACACTGCGTGCGCGAATGCAGAATCTATTTCTTCTATGAATAAGCATCACCAGATTTCTTTTTTAATTTTTTGTAGAATGAGCACGCGTACAAAAGAGGCGCTTTAGATTATAAATATTTATTGTATTTTTATAATTTAAAGCGCGCGTTTTTAGCAGCACGAACGCCCGACGTTAACGTTACGTTGCACATTGAGATCTTACACTGAAATTGTAATTTGCAATTACACGTCACGGTAATTACGATATACGCTTAATTGTTATTCATATTATTAATTATTCTTCAAAGAGTGAGACACTACTTATGTAACATTATCTCAGGATTCTGCGTCACTTTATCTCTTCATCTCTTCTTGTGGTTTTTTTTTTTTATAAATATATCACAGACACTGAGCGGCACAAGGGTTGAAGGTCAATCGAATCGCCTCGAATATTACGAAAACGATCTACGTATTTAGAATTAAATGCAATTTAACACACGTACATACTGCCAGCCAACCGAGCGAACGCCCGATGCCCACGGGCCCGCGCCTTCAATCTCGTTCGACGTCGAGAATTTTGAGAGCCCTTAAAACCGAGCGATCAACTGTACTATTATTACGACTATACTGCTGCTATTATTACTACTCCTACTTTAAGCGTAATAGATTAAACCGCCGGTTCAAAGCCCTACTCGATCGGCGAATCAGTAATCGCGCTTAAGAGCGAAAGAAACGAACGCGCACACAATAGATTGTAATATATAACATGGCAAGTTTATCGCATCGACTTTATGGACAGGAAGAAGAAAACAAAAGTAGAGAGACAATTCTATAGATCGAATTCATCATTTCCCGAATGCTCTTTTACTATTAAAAAAAAAAAAAAAAAAACTACGATCAGCTTAAGTACTCATGTACAAGATTACCGAGAGGATTACGAAGGAAACTCACGTCATACATGAAGAATCATGGAACATCACGTGTACGTGTCCATTCACTGAAGTCAACTCTTGTTCTTACAAGACACCGTTACATTGATGACGTTTTTCTACCGAAAAATTTTGCAAAAGTGTGAGACGAGAAAACGAAGCACTTCGCAAGATACCTAATGTCGTCGTGCGAGAGATCGCAAGCGAATATTAGCGGGCTTAATAAATCTGTAAATGTGATTACGTTCCTCCCCGAACACGCTCGTTGATTCATCCGGTTATTTAACATAGGGATTTAAAGTTTGGATTTAATCTAATTGTAAGATATATATATATATATATATTTAGATTAAATTATATATATATATATATATATATATATATATATATTTCTATATATACACAAGCGAAGTAAGCAAGACTCAAATTTAGAGCTGTTTAGCTTAAGTGAACATGCATTTTGTGAAAAAAATATTAATGGTTCTTACATTTTTATGAATGTACACTTTGCATTCACAAAACAAACGTACATTGTAATAGAAGGGACACGCGATGATAGATCTTGCGATTCTTCTAAGTTCCTACGTTGAGTCTTCGTGCGAATTGCTTTTAAGTCTGTTCTTTTAGCTGAACTATTTACACCATTCATCTTTTTTCTTTTTTTTTTCAATATGAAAAGAAAAAAGGTAAAATGTAAGAAATTTAGCCAAAAAGAACAGGCCCAAATAGGACGAGAATAGAAACGGCCCATGCTCGCTGTTGATCCTGATTCTCGAAGAATTTCATCACATGATCTGTATCGGGCAGGGCTTTATGCCGATTGCTGTAAGTTGCATGCGTTTTAGGATATTAGGAACGTATGACAATATAGATCGCATCGCGTTGTAATTCGAGCGATTCGTATGACCCGCGGAAGAATAATGTGTGCGTCTGCTGAAAGTATATGCCAAATCGAGAAGAACAGCACTTCTTTTGATTGGATTTGCTCTACGGGATTTGCTGAAATTATGAAAACTTGTGATCCTGGCTTGATTCGGCATTTAATTGTAAAAAGTTGTATGTGTAACAATAACGGTATGAGAAAAATGTGATGCTCGTCTTCAAAATGTCTTCTATGCTGTTTCAAAAAAATTAGTACGTGAAATTAATCTATGGATGTACAGTTGCATCATTTTGTGTTAAAAAAATCGCAAGAGGATCGATCGAACAGATACTTATCTTAATTAAGGGGTCTTTTTAACGATTTTGACAAATTTGACGCATCGCAAACTGAACAGATATTTCGCCATTTAATGACGTTTTGTTAATTAATATATAATCGTACCAATTCAACACTGTGGGCTGTTTCAAGATGAATGTATATGTGAATAAAAAGCGATGTAAATTTTCGTCCGCCGACAGTTGGTAGTCACGACATATCAGCGTATTTGTTAAGAAAAAAATTTGTTAGGTTGAAATGTTCACTTGTCAGGAGAGAGACTCTCAAGAAGTGTACAAAAAAAAGGAAGGAACCTTCTTAGATCCTTCTTAAAAATGAATGTCAATAGTTTAGTATGCAGGCTGGATTGTATTTTTTATTTTTCTGTAAAAACATTTCGATTGAACGCACGAGTTTACTCAGAAAAAAAATAAAACACTTTTTTTGTACATCTATTTTTTTGTCTCTTTATTTAATCAGTTCGCGGTGTAATTGTATGCTTTTGATAACTATTTAAAGCTTGAATAATAACTTAGATTTTTGGTAAAAAATGTTACAGATAATAACGCCCCAAAACTGCCAGTTTATTTTGTAAATAATTTTATATCTTTTATATAACTTGCAAGGAATTGTCTTTTCATATTATACATGAGCGAAATGTACAATGTCAATTCTATTTTATAGCTATTAAAGAAAAGAATTTTATTTATCTACCGTTTGTATGTGGTACAAAATCTTCAACTCGTCTGAAATAATGTCTGGCGCTCCGGACATTAAATCTCGTCCTTCCATTGTTTTCGGGAAAGCTATAACGTTCTTTATACTTTTTTCATTACAAAGTACACAGACGAAACGATCCAGTCCTTGAACAAGAAATAATGTTTTCTTATTTTCATTCACAGATATAAATTTATCATGTGAAAATGTAATACCTATAGCTATTCCACCATGAGGTGGAGCTCCGTAGGTCAATGCCTCGAGCATGTGCGACAATTTTGTTTCGTCTATGTTTAACATTCCCAATATTTGCCTCTGTAAATTCGCATCGTGGATTCGAATGGAACCTCCCGCTATTTCTGATCCATTCATCACTAAATCGTAATGTAAACCTCTCACCTATAGAAAAAAAGATATGTAAAAAATATGACAAGATTAATTAATTGGCTTGAGTCTTATTGACCTTTAAAGGATCGGTTGTAAGATATTTCATGTCCTCTGGATGAGGTTGCGTAAATGGATGATGCGACGATTCCAATGTTTCTTCGAATGTGAATAACGGAAAGTCCGTGATCCATACAAGTTCAGCCTCGGACGAACGTATTTGTTCACCTTTGGCTTCTAATATATTTGTAAATTCGGTACGTAGCTTTCCTAAGAGTTTCAACTAAAATATACAATAATTATAATTACAAGTGGAGAGAAAAAATTATTATTAAAGGAGAAAAAAAAGAATCTTAGACTTTATACTCACTGCATCCATTCGATATCCAATTGCCAGCAATACTGCATCCCCTTCCTGTAGCTTGCAGTACTGTGATACGTCTTTCGCTATAATTCCTGATTTCAGTTTTAGCTTATCTAACTGTGTCTTCCATGAATTACTTTCATTTTTTAATTGAACTAGCTTTGTAGTACCAAAATAATCGTTACGAATCTTAGAAAGTTCATCTCTGATAGATTTTGTTAAGTACTTCTACAATATAAAAATTCATTAACATTGGAACACAAATCAAAATAAGTAAAAATAAACACCTACCGATTTCTTTGAAAAAACTAAAGCGTACACTTTTTGTTTATCATCTTCCAACTTCATAGTCTCCTTTAATACTGGAAGATCAAACATATGTGTGAGGTCTTTTATCTGGAAAGCAATTTGTATTGAAACTATTCCGTGTTTATTCCGTGAGATAAAAAAAGAAAAGATTATATACATTAGTTTTCTTACTTGATATGATATTCTTAAGTCTGGTTTGTCAGTACCATACAACTCCATTGCGTCTTTATAAGTTATAAGCTTAAAAGGCACTTTTATAGAACCCAATTCTTCTGGCCATGAATACATTAATAAGTTTTCGATTAAATTCATCACTCCGTCCCGGTCAACAAACGACATTTCAATGTCTAGCTATAATATAACTGATATAACACTGATATAATTGTGTAGCTGATAATAAAATATATTACTTATATAGAAACGCAATATATAATTACCTGTGTAAACTCTGGCTGTCTATCATGCCTAACAGTCTCATCTCGATAACATCGAGCGATTTGAAAGTATCTATCGAGGCCACCTATCATGAGAAGCTGCTTGAATTGTTGAGGACTCTGTACTAATGAGTAGAAGATACCTGGTTGTCTCGTGGGCACTACAAATTCTTGTGCACCCTGAACATAAAAAATTAATGTGTTTTGGTTATTTAATTTTGATATTGCATAATAAATCAATTTTATATATTTAACACAGTTTTATAGTAAACTAGATATTAACAAGGCATACCCCTGGTGTACTTTTAAATAATGTTGGCGTCTCAATGTCCACAAAACTGCATTCATGAATCAAGAATTCTCTCATTCTCATTATGAGGGAGGAACGCATTCTTAAATTCTTTTGCAATTCAGGGTATCTCAGTGACAGATATCTGTATTTCATTTGCTGACTCTCTTTGGCTTTACTGTACTCTCTAATGAACACCGGGGGATTCTGCGATGCTGCATTTAGAACCTTCAGAGACTCAACATATATCTCTATGTCGCCTGTTTTCATTTTTTTATTTTGTTTATCTTCAGGTCTTGGTACAACTTTGCCTATTATGCTCAAGACACTTTCAAAAGACAAATTCTGTATAATTTTTATCAAATCTTTTCTCTGAAATCATTAGAAACTTTTCAATGTTTTATGTGACAGTTACCAAATATCAATATATAATGACTGTATCTACATACATCTTCAGGTATAAGTAACTGCGTTGATCCATAAGAATCTCGTAATGTTATAAATTTCCTCATTCTCTGGAATTCCAGCCAACCACTTAATCTTACTTCCTCTCCAACATTCTTCAATGTCAGCTCACCACATGTGTGTGTCCTCTGGACATATCTATTGACTGGTGACACCGGTTCCTTCGTCAATGGCACTGACTTGTTAATAACTAAATTGTGTACAAAAGCCATTGAAATAGCAGATCGATCCTTTAATAGAAACTAAAACAAAATATACATTAAATTTCAAGTAAATATAGATTGCTTCAGGTTACGATACGTAACAAAAATTATTATGTAAAATATTTAGAAACTTACATTTACTTTAGGTAAATTACTTATCAATGGCCATATGTGATATCTTGTCACGATGACATTTGTGCGGCTAAACACAATTCTACTGCCGGCAAACATTTTATATTGTTGTATTACCGAAGTTTCTTCTTAAAAATTGTTCAACCTTTTAATGTATTTTGTTTCACATGCAGTCATTCACAAAATCATTATTGTTCTTGTATTCTTCTCACCTATTGTTTACAAATTTTTAGAAATCTGCTATATTTTTATATAACAAATATATAAAATAATTATTATATAGGTGATTATTCAGTTTAGTCTCTTGGAATCAATGACGAAATTAGACTCATTAGATGCGTTTTTGCACAAATCTGACTGAAAAAAGCATCTACCTTGCAAATCGAAATATTATATAAATATAATTATTTTAAATATCAGACAATATATAATAATTATCTTCTAACAATTATATATTATAAGATAACATTATATTTTGGACACGTGCATTGACTGATCATCTGGTTCTGCTAAAATCTGACGAAATCTTTATACTATCAAAACATCTCTTTGTGTTAGATATTCGAAAGATCTCGTTACATACCGATTACAAGTTTTTCACTTCAATTATTCGTGCGAATAATCTCGAGTAGCATTATTTGTAAATTCACGCACATATTATTGAACACTGCGTTATTTACAACATGACATCAATGGACATTTTTTTCTCTCATTGCTGAATCTGGCTATGATCGTTCACGTGCAACTGTAGTGGCGAACTTATGTTGACATTTTTTTTACGAATAAGTACGACGCAAAAATACATTTGGATCGGTTATGTATTTTAACGTGAGATGATAATATTAAAATAGAAGGTTAGTCAAACTTGCTGAATTCTAATTGCGAAGTTACGAAAAATTACGTGGCTCCCTAATCTAATTTTCTTAACCTATAAATGTTGATACTTAACCTATTCTTAATGAATTTTTGATAAAATATACAACTGATGTAAATCTACAGTGAATGTAAAAAATATTCATACAGGAGATTTTTATAAAAAAAAAGCTTTATTTGTAAATTAATTAACAATTTATTAACAATAACATTGTCCTAATGTAAACAAAAGGATTTGCAAAACTGTGTTTATAATCTTAAAAGCTATAATAAATTTCTTTGTATGAATACTTTTTATGCGTTCAAGTAATGCAACTTTTCATTTTCGTTTTGTAAAAATAAAATTTTTTTAAAGATATTTCCCTTATATGAATTTTTGCACTCACTGTATCTGAAAAGAAAAGCATTCATCTGATATACCGCTTGAATACAATCCGATTGCTTTCAGTAACAAGGATGGCGATGTCAATTTTTAATAAAAATGATTCTGTACTACTAGTAGGAGAAGGCAACTTCTCATTCTCTGCAGCATTGTCGCGACAAAATTTGAACATAGAACTTATTGCTACATGCTACGAATCTGGTACCAATCAAGAAGCTGCAGAAAGAAATGTAGATTATCTTCGAAGCAATGGTCAGTAAATTAAAGTAGAGATAAATATTATCCACAATGTCGACGATCGAATTAGTTAATCATAGTTATAAAGAAAGAAACCTATGCTTTTCTTTTCAGGCATCTGTATATTATTTGATGTGGATGCTACAAAGTTAGAGGAATATTCCTCATTAAAATCACGACGGTTCGACAAAATTATATTTAACTTTCCCCATGCTGGTGGTAAAATGAGAATAGAAAGAAATAGGGACTTACTGAAAGACTTTTTTGTGTCGTCCGAAAGAATGATAAAAGAAAACGGTCAAATATTAGTAACACTATGCAATGGTCAAGGTGGAACACCTATGGATGAACCTAGAAGACGTTGGGACGATTCCTGGAAAATTGTAGAAATGGCTGCACATGGAAATTTTATATTAACAAGAATAGAACCGTTTTTGTGGCAATCTTTTCGGGATTATATTGTAACAGGTTATCGCAGTTTAGATAAGCAATTTCACACGGCGGGCTCATTAACACATTTTTTCACGAAAGGCAAACTACCTATGATGCATAATATCGCACCTAGTAATAAGATACACACTTTTAAATACACTGTGGATAATATTACATGGAAAGATATGATAAAAAATATTCAAGATAAATTAGATATTAAATGTATTCATCCATGTAGTTATACATTTGATTTAACTTTGTCTACTGATCGAAATTTTAATACAGCTGATTTTTATCAGTCGCTGTATAATTATGCAGGATCTATTATTGACAATGTAGATTTGATTAATTGTTATCACTCTCCTGTTGATGAAAAGATAAAAAGAACATATAGGATAAATTACAAATCAAATTATATGCCGTTATATAGGAGAAGAGTTATAAAATTACATCAAAATGTAATCGCAAATTTTGTAGAAGATAAATTTAAAGTCACCGTCTCAAGATGAACACATAACTAGAATTATTTTGTGTATTCTGTTAAGAAATAAATAAGGATTTTATTAAAATATACGGTACATATATTGATTTATCTCATTATTGATATGTAAAATGCGTGAGGTTCATCATATCTTTTGCCATCCCTTTCAGATGCATTGTTTTCGTCATTTGAGTATTGTCACATGTGGCATAATTCAAAGACAAAGCTGTGAAATCGTATTGAAAAAGAACAGAATCAGGAGCGAAGTTTCAAGTGGGCTTAGAGCGTTATCTGCTACTGCATGCATTCATAAACAGGAATCCATAGCTTTACGCAGTACAAAACCCAAATCGAAGAATGATACCCTGCAATATTTTGTCGATATAAGATCGGTAAGAACATTATTTCGCGAGACATTATCAGTTCCTAATCGTATAATCATTTTTCGTTAGGTGAAAACAATCGGGGGAAACGGTGGCGATGGGCAGATATCATTCTTACGATTGTGGATCAATGATCGAGCTGGTCCGGATGGTGGTGACGGTGGGCACGGTGGTCATGTAATATTTGAAGTAAGATTATTAAAGCAAATCACGTGAGAAGTAAAACATAAAATTTGTACGATTATTACTAGATGCTTTCCAGCATCCAAGAAACACAGATCACCCAATGAATCATTACATTCTTGTTTGTCAATGTCAAATAAAGATGAAATGATCCACTGTATTATACAGGTCGACTTGTGTTGTTAAATGGAAAGCATCCATTGTGTCATTTGTGTCTCTTACTGAAAAACATCCATTTATGTTACATGTATGTGTAACATATTAACACTAGTTTGTATAGAATACAAAATGTATAGTTTTATTATGCAGACGACATCAAATGTAAAGGATCTTAGGCATATAGATTCAGTGATCAGAGCTAAAGATGGAGAAAAAGGTTACAGCAAGGATTGTTTCGGTAAAAATGCAGAACACAATGTGGTAAAAGTGCCCATTGGCACAATCGTGCGCGATGTAGAGGGTAAAATATTAGCTGACTTGAGCAAAGAAGGAATGATGTTTATTGCCGCGAGAGGTGGTGCCGGCGGTCATGGAAATGCCTTTTTCAAGTCGGACACTCAACAAACGCCTGAAATATGCGAATACGGCGCAATCGGGGAAAACTTGCAATACGTGTTGGAAATAAGGAGTATGGCCCATATTGGATTGGTGAATATTCTTTCAGTTATCGCTAAATTGATTTTATTATTAGCATTTAAAAACATTATGTCTCATTAATATCCAAAAATATATATTTACTATAAATACTTTAGAAATTTTTATTATATAAAACATTTAAGAATGAAATTTATATTTGTGTCATGTTTATCAAATTGTTAGATTGGTTTGCCAAATGCTGGTAAAAGTACACTTTTAAGAGCGATATCCAGAGCTAGGCCAAAAATAGCGGCCTATCCCTTTACTACTTTAAAACCTCATATAGGCATAATTCAGTACGATGATTATGAACAAGTTGCAGGTAATTTTTATAATAATATTTTATAATATTTGTATCGTATAGAAATAGCGCGAATTTTCTTGCGCATTTAATCTACTTTCGTAATTTGTTTTAGTTGCTGACATGCCCGGTCTCATAGAAGATTCACATAAAAATAGAGGGCTTGGCATAACTTTCCTCAAGCATGTGGAACGTTGCGCCGTTTTAGTATTTATTTTAGATGTAACACAGAATGAACCGTGGGAAGTTCTGCAAACTTTAAAGTACGAAATTAGTCAGTTTAATGAGAGACTGAATGACAGGCCCCACATTATTGTAGCAAATAAAATTGATTTGCCAGATGCTGAAGTGAGCGACTAAAATTTTAAATTCTTTGAATTCATTAGTTTCATTACTATTTCAATATATTTATGTATTATTAATTTAAGTATCAATGGTAATTAAAAAAGATGAAGTTGATAATTTTTATAATGTAATTTGTATTTCAGGTTAATTTACAGTTACTCAGAGAACATATAGATTTACCAATAATTCCTATCTCTGCCAAAATAGGAACTAACGTTTCCACTTTATTGAAAGAGATTAGAATATTGTACGATAATCTTAAAGTTACTACATCAGAAAAAGATACTGAACTTTCGATGTAACTTTTACGTAATAAATCCGATATAAAAAAAGATTACTCTTATCGCAATGGTATTAACATCACATAGATTCCGTACAAAATGAAAAATTCTTTACCACACATTTTACTTGCGGCTGATTCAGGATCGTCGAAAACCATCTAGTTATATTCGAATATTGTCCTCTGTAATGTGGATCAAATACATATTCGTATAAAGGCAGCAATGCGGTAAAAAGGGATATATCCGCAAGAGTGATCCTTTCGCCTATCAAGTACGTCCTTGTATGCATTACGTCATCTAATTTTCTTAGAGCACAAAGAAGATCCGCTTTCGAAATTTTTATATTTATTTTCGTATCTTCTGATACGGAACCAAGTGAAGGGAGTACCCAGCCACAAACCATTGGTAAGATGTGATTTTGTACATAACTCATCCATTGCAGAACTTGACTGCATGCAAATAAATCGTCATCACGCCGTAGCTGCGAATTTGATAAAAAGAATGCAATGGCATTGCTGTCGTGTAACGTAACATTTGCTGTTTCTAAAATTATATCACTAGAACGTATTCTATTATCAATTTGTTTAATAATCAAACATTTGCCGCTATACTGTGCGATTATTTGTGCTAAATAGCATTTAATATTTCCAATGTTCCCATAAAGTACTAATTTTAATGAAGATCCCGTGTTAAGTAATCGAAAAGTTTCTGAAATTTTATGAGTATTATTAGTAGTAATCTTGTCTGAAAGCAGACATAATTGCTGATAAATTAATCTAAATATACACAAATTAGTAAATCAATAATCTACTAAATTATATCTAGCAAACTCATAAACTGTTACACTTCGTTTCCAAGTTTTCAACTGAGCTAGCATAATGCTACAGTAAAATTATAGTATCAAACAGTAATGTTTCTATACTTACTTGTAATTCCAAGTTTTTGATCGGCAAACTCATTGGCTTTGCTTACTATTTCATTCAAACATACAATGTTTGAACCAGAAGCTTGTGCAGATTCGGATTTTCCACCTCCTTTGCCTTGCATCAAAGACGTGATTGCCTGGATCCATTCATTTGCCTTCAATCCTTTGGATACTGCAGACTGTGAATGAGTTCGTTCTATTAGTATGACTATTTTTACTTATACTTTACTTTTATCTTACTTTAGGAACAGAACTGAGAGCGAATATCTTCTTGACATCATGATCTATGCTTATAAGCAAGGCACTAGTTTCTGGCGATATAGCCCTGATTTTCTTTAATGCCTGATCTAGAGCTTTCGTATTACTGTAGGCTTCCAGCACCTCGACTAAAACTTGACATCCAACTTTAGACTCTATTATAGATTGAGCAGTCTGTACAACTGTAGTAGCAACAGTTGCCTTCGCTGCCCGTTCCTTATCGTCGAGAGATTTTTTTAAGTTTTTCAACGTATTGCGCATGTGATCCTGTTATAATAAAATAATTATTACTGTATCACCTCTCTGAAATTATTATATTTTATTAAATATAATTGCCTTCCAATATGCAGGAATAAGGGCATGAGATATCTCCTCTGTTAATTCTACTATCTCTCTCACATATTCCTTAGAGTTCGTTTCAGACTTATCATCTTCAATCGATGCTTGAAATTGAGATAACTGTCGTTGTAATAGCATCCCTGTTCTTAAGGCTTTTGCTGCTTCCGGCCCAGTAAGCGCTACTATGCGTCTGATACCTTTAGCGATAGCGTCTTCACTGACTATTGTAAAATTACCTATGTGGCTAGTGTAATGCAAATGCCTATAGAACAAATCGTTCGTAAATTTAAAGAAACAAGCATGGTAAGGAATGATTTGTTTTTTTTTTAAATGAACTTCTTATTTATCTTTTTCTCTCAAATGTATAGAGAAAAAAAAGGAATGGTGCAAGAAGTGCAAAAAACAAACCTAAAATGCTTTAAATAATACTTACGTTCCCCCGCAAAATTCTACGCTAGTTTCAAGAGCAGCTGTACTCAAGGGATCCTTTTCTAAGTTTTCAACCGGTATGCCTACACTAACAACACGTACCGGATCAGGATACGTCTCCTCGAACATTGCACGCAAACCCTGAATAGTTTTTGCTATGGCTAAGTTACTTTCTTTAGCATAAATTTTCTCGTTTTCTGTTATCACGTTATTGGCTAACTGTTCCGTATCTTGCAACTGACCTCCCGTCATTGGTCCTGTTGAGAAAATTTGACAGTAATAGTTAATTCATGCGATCTAACTTCATTTTAATTCGAGACTGTACCTTTGTTCGTAAAGTCAAATCGGAGTCTATCAGGTGCAACTAATGATCCTTTTTGATCGGCTTTTGTTCCCAAGACCTTCCTAAGTGCATAATTCAAAACATGCGTGGCACTGTGATTAGCCATCACAAACCGTCTACGTTCTGTATCTACATTCGTATGAACTTTATCTCCTTTTCTTAACGTGCCTTCGCCCACAGTACCAATGTGTAAAACATAACCAGCTCTGATTTGAACGTTCTTTATACGAATCTCTGTAGTCTTTTAAAGCAATACGCTATAAACAATCTTATTTTTCGTTGCACAAAATTAAAATGAAAATTAAATTTTATATACCTCATCATCGACTTTCACTAAAAATCCTTCATCATATATTTGTCCTCCTTGTTCTGCGTAAAAATTCGTTCTGTCCAATAAAATTCCAACTTCTTCGCCGGAAGATACTTCATCGACAAAAGTCTTAGCGCGTCTTAGTGCGATTACAGTACCAGTACATGGTGCAAATTCATACTCTTTATATTTAATCTCTGTCGTTACTTTATAATCATATTTAGGAGAATCGTCCGTAGGTTTAACGCCTTGCTTTTGCAGTTCAGTGATAGCATGGACATCGAAATTAATTTGATCGTCTACACCACCAGCTTTATTTTGAGAAATTAACTGTACAATTGAAAAAATATTTATGAAGAATATTAAAGTAAAAAAAGTATTTTAACATTAAATTAACTTATATACTAGTATATGTATATATATATATAATATAATACAGATTAATTATTATATATTGATATACACACACACACACACACACACACACACACACATACCTGTGCTTGTTTCTTAGATTCTTCGTAGCCTGCTATATCAATCTTCAATCCTTTCTCTTCAGTCATTAACTGAGTGAGATCTATCGGGAAGCCATAAGTGTCATATAAACGCCACGCGACATCACCTGGCACAGTGTCAGCTGATTCTAACTTTGCTATCGTTCTATTCAGTAAATTGCGACCCCGTGATAGAGTTTTCAGAAATTGACTCTCTTCCTCATTGATGATCTCGATAATACTTTGTGGATCTTTCCTTACTTCTGGAAAAACATCACCTGTAACAGCAAAAGAACTGCTTTTAGAAGAGTAAAAAAATATAAAAACTTCTTTTATTAAACAATATGAAGATATTTACCGAGAAGATCGACTACTACGTTTACGAGAGATCCAAAGAAGCCTTGCTTAGCATTTAATTTCTCGGTTGCATAGCGTACGGCGCGTCGTAAAATTCTCCTTAGCACATATCTATATCAAAATAAAGAGAATTACATTTAGATAAATAAATTTAATTATATTAAAAAACGCAAAGAAGACAAGATATAAAAACTACATTCGGAAAACACAATAATTGAAAAAATGCTTATTGCTATTAATATATTTTTCTAGATTTATTATGGATCTAAAGGTTTCCAATTACAGGCAACAATTATTGAGCACTTATTCAATAGTAGTGCTTTCCGAACATAGCCAAAGTTTAAATATTAAACACTTACCCTCTGCCAGTATTATCAGGCACTCCTCCATCTGCTAGAGCAATTGTGAGAGTTCGAGCATGATCAGCCAGAACTCTGTATGCCATATCGATTCCATTAACATCGTCGGCTCCTACTTTACCTTGATAAGGAGGAGCACCTGTACCTTCCTCAATTGCAGCAAACAAAGGCATAAATACATCAGTATCATAATTGGCACGTTTATTTTGAATGACCGACACCAATCGTTCTAAACCTAAGCCGCAGTCTATATGCTTTTTTGGTAACGATTTAAGACTACCATTTAACTCTCTGGAAACATAATTAACACAATTAAGATTGTGAAACTTTGGATCGCGAGTTATAGTCTAGTTTTAAATACCTGTTGTATTGAATAAACACAAGATTCCAAATTTCTAATACATCGGGATCGTCCATATTTACAAGATGAGCTGCTTCTCTACCACCGATACGATCATAATGCAATTCACTGCACGGTCCGCAGGGTCCAGTTTCGCCCATTTCCCAAAAATTGTCTTTCATGTTGCCTGGTAGAACATGCGAGGCAGGTACTCTGAAGATTCATATTTTACAATTTTTATAGTAAACATTAAAATATGACCAAAAATATATCAATAAACAGAATGAGATAATTAAGGAAATAAGATTATACATATAACATAAAATTGAAAATAATATTTATATCGATAAAATTTTACCAATATAAACTGTTCAGAATAATTGTATTCTAAAATGATTATGTACCCAAGAGAAAGCCAGAGATTCTTGCACTCATCATCTGGCGCCAATCCGCTTTTCTCATCTCCACCAAAATATGTGACGTACAATCTATCAGCTGGTAGTTTCAACACGTCTGTTAAAAATTCCCAAGCCCAAGCGCATATCTCATTCTACAAAAAAATTAAATCTTAAAGTTAGAAATTTGAAAAATGATCAATGATTCTAGGAACAATTAATTACCTTGAAATAATCGCCAAAGGACCAATTTCCCATCATTTCAAAAAACGTATGATGATAAACATCTTTACCAACATCATCCAGATCATTATGTTTACCACCAGCTCGGATGCACTTTTGGCTATTGACAACTCGTACCCATTTCGCCATATCGCTGTTGGGATCGACCGTTCCTAAGAATATCGGCTTAAACTGAAATACATTTAAAATAAAATTAGAAATAGTGTTGTGATAGAGAAGAATAAATCAAATAATGGTTACATAAATCTCCATGGTTGTTGATGCGTAAATAATATATTTGTAAGACAATAAAATATAATTCACAAACAATTGAAATGTAAACTTTTTGCAGCCTCCAGCTTAGTCGAAAAATCATATTTCCTGTTTTATTTAAACAAAATAAACATTATTTGGCCTAAAAAAATTTATCTATTTCTAAAAATGACCTTTTAACAATAATTCTAAAAAAAGCATGTTATTGCTTTTAAGGTTTTTCACAAGTATTTTCTTCAAAGAAGTTACATAGTTACATAGTTTGCGAGTTATCTCTGTGTCTTAATACATTTAAAGGCTAACATTGTAGTTTACTTCACCAGGACAAGAAGCATAGGTTATCTCTCGTCTTGAAGAAGAAAACTGCAATGAAAACATTGGAATTCAATGATATATTAAGACACAAAAATAAACTTAGCGTAGCTTGTTTGAAGTCCATAAAAGAAATAATGAATTCAATGTTAGAAGAATATAAGAATTATCAAGACATACTTGATTCATCCCAGCGTTCGTAAAGAGCAAGGTTGGATCATCGTGGGGTATTGTCGAGCTCGAGTGCACATATTCGTGCCCCTTGCTCTTGAAGAAGTCAATATATGCCTGCCGTATTTGCTTTGCGTTCATGTTGTTACTATGATCCGTGTTTGATGCACTGGACATTATGCCAGAGGCACTATTGAGTGATGAACCATCATTGTCTTGATTGTTGGCAGTCTGTTGTAATTGCATCTCGATAATTCTAGGCATTAAATCCTTTATGCTACTCAGTGTATCCTAGAATTGCGAATTACAGTAATATGTTGTAATAAGTGTTAAACACTTTGCAACATAATTCACCATATGGTTTCAGGTTGCATCAAAAATATAAGTAAGCTATGAAATATTGAAATAATCAAAACAAAATGCAACTCTCTTTATGTAATTACATTATGCGATCTCTGCGATTCAGATTTACATAAACAGTGAGAAAGAAAACGATAAATCTTTACAAGACTTGCCTCTGTTGCTCTGTCATGTACAGGTAGACTGTTCTCTGTCCTTTTATTGTCGGAGTCCTACATGCAGCCACAGTATACATATACTATGATGCGGCATACACATGTAAGTAAAGAGAAAGAATCAAAAAAGAAATGGTAGAGAGGAAAAGAAATCCAGATTGTGTGTGCACATATATGTATTCGAACCAGTTCGACTTTCGAGAGTTTCGAGCCGGTAAGCGAAAAAAGGAAATTAATTTGTTGTCGATCGATAATCGCGCGAGTTAAAGTAGTCGGGTAAATATTAAACAGAGATAGTAAACAGAGAGTAGTAAACAGAGATTGAAAGCAGACAGAATTAGACAAAAATCGACAGGATGCCGTTTATGATAGGTAAGGAGCCTATGCGGCGAACAGTGAAATACCTAATGGCTGGCAAATTGGTTTTAAAGGATAAGATACAAATAATGTCCATCAATTATAATACATATGGCAGTCGTCACCGAGGTACAAGGTAAAGGTTATTTGCTTAATACTTAAAGCTTATTTGCAGTTTGTATTTTAATGAGTTTGTATTTTTCTGATTATTTTTTTTTACAGAGACTTCGTGTTTTGGCATTTACCGCAACTACAATACAAAAATCCAAATGTGCAAATAGTTACCTTTAGAAACATAACCCCGTCGCCATTCATAAAATGCTACTACGGTAAAATTGCGATTTAATTATAATTTCAACAAATAAGATTTATTTAATGTTAGAATTAGGTGGTAGAATCTAGTGAACAGTATGTCAACATTTTTTATCAGTAAATTTGAGCAAAATATTGTGGCAAATTGACATTACTTGATGAAAAGTTTTCTCAGAATTTTAATTTTAGAATGTAAATTTCAAAATGTTTCATTTTTGAATAATTTTACAATTTTTAGGACATTCTTCTAGAATTTTTTGTGTTTCAGAATTTACATATATAAAAACATTTTAATCAGACTTTCTTCATATTTCTAAAAAGTATTTCAATTCGTATAGAAATTCTGAGAAAAATTTTATTTATGTATTTTATGTTTGTATTTTTTGCCAGTGGAGTCCATAAATATAATTTGATAGCAAATTGTAGCAATTAATAGAAGCTAGGCAAAGTCTGTCATAACTATTTGAGTAATTACAATTGATTACAAAAATTAAATATTACAAATTGATAAATTCTATTTAATTTTTACAATCCATTTATTATTAGATTATATAATATAGATTCTATAGCAGAGTTTGTTATATTTCTGCTGACATTTTGCTAATTTGTAGCAGATATTTTGCAGAATTTTTTTCAATTTGCAAAATTACAAAAGATTTATATATTTTACAGCAAATGGTGAGACGATGTTGATAGATATAGACAGCAAATCAAAGGACGATATACTTGATCATCTCTTGAAAGTAGTAGGAAAATCACTGGATGTATTGAAAGAGGAAGCTATAGTTCAAGAAAAGAAGACTAATCCAGCAAATTTCGGAGTTGGTTGTGATAGGAGTTGTATATGTCATATCCCAGGACAAGTGCCATGTCCTGGGATAGTACCATTGCCAGATCACATGCGTGGAAAGAAAATAATAGAACGATTACAGAATAAAAATTAAACAAATTGGAGTTGTTGAAAATTCTTGTTACACTTATATTATAATTGTATTACATGTACGTACATGTGTGGTCTATATCCAAAAATATGAACAATGGAAATAACTTGTACACTTTGTTCTTATTCGAAAGCATGTCATGTTTGCTATAAAATAGATTTCCATATATTACGAAAATACATGTACGTTGACGTACATATTGAGAGCGTTACATCGTGGACGATTTGAAACAGTCGTAGCTCTAATGTTTCTTGTATTTTTGGCGACAATGAGGAACATCGAGAAACATATTGGAACTTTTACAGGCAATAGAAACATAAATGTTGCTCTTATGTTCCTTTGATGGATACGTAGTTTCACAACACGAAAATACATATAAAATTTCTTTATACACACAAAAACGAAATATTTTTAATAAACAATATTAAATAAGTAGGCATTGCATCATAAATAATATAAATATCATCATAAAACTATTATGATAATGATGGTTGATAAATGGGATAAAAATGGTAGATGAAATGTACGTGAATTATCTTCTTGGCTTATGGCGACTGTATGGTTTGTTGTGATGGTAGCAGCTTCCACGGCTATGATAACGCGTAGAGGTGGACGGTTTTTGATTTTCTACTTTTTGATAGAGTTGTATAATTGGCGATCCTTCCAATGGTTTATTCAATTCGAACTCTTCTTCCGATTCTTTCATCAACTTGAGTTTTGCTTCAATCGCTTGAATTGCTGTTTCACGACTGTAGGAAAATTGCAAATTTCAATTAAAATATTGTTTATTCGATATTTGTTTATTCGATTCGTTTATTATTTGATAAAACAAAATTATACCTGATCTTTTTATCTTCTTTCTTTGCACCAGCTAAGGCAGGAATCTCAATCTTTGGTTTTGGTTTATCCATGTCCAACTAAACAATTATTGTTTGTAAGTTATTCAAAATTAATACTTATAATTATAAAATTAGTAATTCATAAAATATTGTATAATGCATATTAAAAATTGAAGTTTTAATTTAAGATTTGAATTTTAACAATATTATAACACATGAACATATTGTACCTCGGTGACACTATGCGCCCATCTAACGATAATATTCTTAGCTCCAACTTTCAAGTTATGTAAAGCATCTTTCGCCCTTATAGCATCTTGAATCGTTTTGTAAGTAACAAATGCATAGCCTCTTGGCTGACCAGCTTGAGGTCCCGATCGATGAAACAGCAGGTCGAACTTTTCGATTGTGCCGTATTTTTGGACAAGTTTCAGGAGTTGGTACCGGTTGACAAAAAGAGCATTAGTTTTTCTCTTCCAATTTTAATGTTCTAATGCAATGATGCACAACTTGTAGCCCTCATAATAAAAAATATAAAATCATTTATATATATATATATATATATATATATATGCGAATGCGAACGAAATAAACATTATAGGGCCCAAAAGATTTACCTATTTTTAAAAATAATTCTCTGAAAATAATTTTTAAAAATGATTGTGCATCACTGTTCTAATGCAAAACACCTCTCATATATCAAGTTTGCCAAGATGTTACAAAAATCTTTATAAAAGAAATATTATAATCATATAAATACTTACTCATTAATTCTTAAATCTAAATTGCCCACCCATAGGCGTCTGTCTTCAACTTGATTTGCTTTTATGGGTTCTAACGGCAAAGGAACTTTAGCACTTGACTGTAAACAGAGAACAAATTATATTACAATCAAATTTATCTATAAAAAAGTGTTCTAAATAGTTGAACCAAGATTAAAATTAAACTACATTGGTAGAAATAGGCATAGATCTGTTTTTTATAAACTTGATTCCATCAATGAAAGATTAATTTTGATCTAGTTCAACTTTTCAATTTTTTTTGTTCTAATGCCTGTTTCTACCAATTTAGTTTAATTTGAATCTCGGGTTAATTGATTCTTCATCTTTTTTTAGTTTTAAGAATTAAAAAAAGATGAAGAATAAATTGAACTGAGATTTAAGTTACATTAATAGAAACGGATACTAATATGAGCTCTTACCTCCATTCTAAATGTAGAAGAGACGTTGCCAAGTCGATTAAATTAACATTGAGAAATCTTGGTAACCAGCGAGTGTGGCATCAGTCTTCGGGAATCTTGAATTTATTTTACGAAACCTTACGAAAGACAAGCTTGATTCACGACGACATTCGCCGAAAAGGCTCGTCGAATCCGAGAAGCTTGCCGTCACATTCGATTATCAGGATACCGCAGGGATGAAGACGCGTGACAAATATTTCGCGATGATTCTTGCCAATAAGTTACTCAATGGTCTCACAGTTGGCTGTACCTTCTTCCCACAAATCAGTTCAAAAATTGGAAAACTGAAGACTACTTACAAACATGAAAATGTATCTGCAACTGTTGACTTTGATCTTAGTTTGTCTGCTTGATCTTTAATTTATGCCTCGGCCGTCGTGGGTTATTAAGGATGATTGGGTGATTATCAGGCATCCTTCGACTCACAGAGAAACAAACTCACAAGGAATAATTTTGCTCTTGGATTTGCTTCCGATTTTACCCTTCATAGCGTCGTGAGTTGAATAGCTCCATTTATATAAAATAAAACCAGATTTGGAAGGAGCAATCAATTTGACATACAATTCCACTAATAATGTAACACAATTTTGTATTGGCGCAAAGTATAATCTTGATAATGATGTTAGCCTTAGAACCAAAGTCTAAGAATTAGAATCCTGAATTCTAATCTTCAAGTAGGGTATCCCAGGTTTGGGATATCAACAGAAATTGCGAAATGGTATAACTTTGACACTTTCTACAAATATTAATGGGAAGAACTTTGGCTCTGGTGGCCACAAATATGGCGTTGCATTAGATCTTCAGGCTTAAATATGTATCTTATAAAGTAATGCTTATTACTTAAAGAAAAAGCAAAAAATTTATCCCATAATAAATATTCCTACAGAAGTGTATGACTCTGCCGTATAATTGTAAACTCAGGTATTGATTTGTATCCTTTCTCAGTCACGACACGCCGAGAGAGATCAAGCGAGATACGAGACGTTATCTTCTTTTTCTTCTTTAATAATACCTGCCTTCTTAGCAAAACTTCTTCGGAGATCAATACGATCAGATTTCTTCAATGCTCAAAGTGTCAAGGTCTCACTTTTTAAAATTTTAAAGCGAGACTCTATCGAGTGGAAATTAGTGAAAATTGTAGAATCGTACATATATACAAAAAGGCGTCCATATGTTAAAAATTCATTGCGCGTCCTCTCGACATATTGCGGCTGAAACAAGAAGTAGAACTAGTGGAAGATCAAACGAGCGACTGACGGTAAATGACGAATTCCAGCTGGAAGAGAAAGGGTGATCAGATGTCAAATACTTCTGTCAAAAGGCTGATGAGCAATTGTCCGTTTTGAGATGATCGTTAAAATCATCTGAATGAAAAAAATGAGCGA